TAACATCCCTAATAAAAAACCACAAGAAAAACTCCACGTCATCATCACCACCGCCAGCTCCCTCGGCCGCCGGCGGGTGGCCAATCGTCGGCCACCTCTACCACCTCGGCGGAGCCGGGAAGCTCCTCCACCGCACTCTCGGCTCCATGGCCGACGCAAACGGACCAGCCTTCACCGTCCGGCTAGGCCACCTCCGCTGCTTCGTCGTCAGCTCCGCCGACGTGGCCAGAGAGTGCTTCACCACAAACGACAAGTCCATCGGCTCCCGTTCTCGCTCCACCGCAACGAAGCACATGTGCTACAACGACACCGCTTTCGGGTTCGCCCCTTCGACTCCGCACTGGCAGGAGATGCGGAAGGTAGTCGTCGTAGAGCTCCTCTCCAACCGCCGCCTCGGCCTGCTGATGGAGACCGTGACGGCAGAGCTCGATGCGGGCATCGAAAAGCTCTACGGACGTTTGAAGGGCTTTCAGTTTGTACAAGTCGGACATGTCATGGTTTTGTGTTAAAAAAATTGTTTATATTGAGGGTTGAGGATTCGAAACTATGGGATCGTTTGGATGAGAAATTATAATGGATCATTCTGATAAAATTGGCAACATAAAATTTGGATGAAACAATTTGTCTCGTTTTTCAAATTGACTTATTTTGAGACCATAATTATTATTATTATTATTATTATTATTATTATTATTTCTTTAAAGCGCAAGTTACCAACAGGCAAGTTATTGTTCATTACGATTTTTTAGCAAAATCCCACTTTATATTTGTAAGCCCGAGTAATTAATTGGGATGGTTTTTTCAGTAGTTATGGGCAACCCACTTTTATATTTGTTCTCCCACAAAAGCCCACTTTGGGTTAGCCAAGCATAACATCGCCTTTCATTCTTGATATGCTTTTTCTATCGGTTTGTTTATGCTTTGGTTATCATAGTAATTATTAAGGATTGAAATAGTGTCCAAGTTTCTGCTGTTTGGAACACTATCAGGAGAAGACAACCTCGAGTTGACTAGTGGAAAGTTGTCTGGAACAAATTCAGGATCTCTGGGAATAGTGTCCAAGTTTGGCTAATTATCATGGATAGGCTCCCTACCAAAGACAAGCTCAAAAAATGGGGAGTGGTGAATGACAGTACATGTGTTTTTTGCAGGACTTCAGAGGAGTCTAGAGATCATATGTTCTGTCGCTGCATATTCATTCAAGAGGTGGTTCAGATCCTACTACGAGGAGAGGTATCCTTTCCTGCAAACTGGAATGAAATGCTGGCTGTGATGGTGCATAGAGTGCAGAAGAATGGAAGCTGTGGTGGGATTGAGGCTACAATTTGGTGTTGGTGCATTAGTGCAGTTTGGAAAGAAAGATGCAGAAGGATTTTTGGAGAGCAGCAGAAGACTGCAAAAGTGCTGGCAGAACAGATCAGGGAAGATGTGAGACTTTACACGGTGGCGCGCCCTGACTTCCAATATTTTCTGACCAATTCTGTTTGTAGTAACTGTTTAGCAGAGTAGGAGTTGTTTTTCAGCTTTTGGGTGCCTTGTACAGGACTGTGAGGCTTCTGCCTTGTGTTTTTTCGAACTCTTGTGCTGTTTTTAGCCAAGAGTGAGCTTTAATGAGAAGGATAAATTACCGGAAAAAAAAAAAGAAATAGCGCAGCGGAGGTTGTACCGAAAAAGTCTCTATTCTTGTGATACTTCCTTCTCCTTCTAGACCATCCATGCCGGCAGCAGTATTCAAATGGTTACCATGTTAATTATCAAACTAAATAAGTTTAAATTCTATAAACCATAACCATACCGACCAAGCTAATAAAACATATTAATTGGCATATTAATCCATATTAAATAACATTATTATCACGTGAGAAAATCTCACATTAATGTACCAATCTGTAATTCATATAATAAATAAAACATAACAACCAACACAAACTTAACGTTATCTTACAGTCATAACCAAACCGACCACCTAGCATAACATCTTCTTTCTACATTCCTCTGATGCTTCCTTCTCCTTCCAAACCATCCATACCGGCAAGGGTGTTCAAATGGTTACTATCAAACTAAATAAATCTAAATTTTATTAATTAGGAAATACAATATTATGATTAAACTGAACAAACTAATACAACAGATTAATTGGTTAATCGAATTAATCAATATAACAACATTATTATCATGTGAGAAAAATATCATGTTAAGGGTACTGTTCATCGGAGAACTCATACACCCTATTTCACAATAAGTTTTGTTCCCTTGAGACAACTATCTCGGTTCTTTTTTATCTACATTACAAAATGTACAAGTTTTTCATAATGACTAAGACAATACATAAAATTTATAGAGGGACAATAATTTGTTATATATCAATTAAACAAACATATTACGTAAGTCTTTCATGATATAAGTTTGAATGAAAATTGCTAAATTGTTGGCGACTTATCAATTTGTATTGCACAAAGGGTTTTGTAAGGTCAACTACTATAGTGTTAGATTTGTTCCTTTATTGTAGCGAATACTGTTCACCGAATTTTGGTATATATTCTGCACTCATTTTACCATAACGCTGTTTTTATAATAGGTTGTTTCCTTTTAAACATCTATCTCGGTACTATTTCATTCCATATTACAAAATATACAACATAAGACTTCCATAATGACTGAGATAATACATAATTTTGTAGAGGGATAATATTTTTTTATGCATGAGTTAAACTAACATATTATGTAAGTCTTTTATGATGTACGTATGAATGAAAATTCATAAATTATTATTTGTAAGTTGTAACTTAATTATTACCTACTATGTTCAAAATTTTAATCGAATCTAATATTATTTGTAACTTAATATTATTTAAAAAATACTTTAATCAATGTTATTTTATAGCTTAATCATTACCTGTTTAATACAAATATCAAATGTAATATTATTTTTACACAATAGTTTTAATAAAATGTAATATTATAACTTAATTGTTACCTACTATATTCAACATCTCATCACTTTGAATTATGCAAATTAAAAATTTTATAAGATAATTTAATCTTATATAATAGATTAATCAAATGTGAGTTTTATCTGTGTGTTAAATTTATTATTAGACCACACGTTGCTGAAGATTAGGTAGCACCATTCTATAACAGTACTTAAAATACATTATGAACAAACTATGAAGGTTATTCAACAACAAATAAACTATGAAGGTTGAAGAAATATTTATTTCTTATGTACCAATCAAATAATGGTATTACATAAGCCTTCCCTAATAAATAAAGTTATAAAACACTACATAAAACTTATGGAAGTATCTTACTCAAATTATTTTGTGAAATTTTCAATTTCAACTAAACCACGAAATGCGTAGATGAATTTTATTACCAAAACAAATAATTAGTTCGTTACCGCAACCAAGTGCGGGCCGCAAAACTAGTTACAATTATTTAGGGTGGGCTAGGTAATTCGAATTGACTTGCTTTAAATGACTCATTTTGTAAAGTGAGATAATTGGTCAAATTGTCTCGTTTTACAATTGTTCCATCCAAATGATCCCTATGACTTTATAGTTGAAGATTTCGATGATAGAAGAAATCATTTATCATTATAATTCGAGTCGTTGAGAAATGAGTTGTTATGTTTTTATCTTTTACAGGTGAGGCTGGACGAGTGGTTTGGTGACATGACATACAACGTGGTGGCCAGGGCAGGGGCTGACCCAGGGTGGTTTAGGGGTGTCCCCGGACACCCCTAAATTTTGAGAAAACGATTATCCAACGCCGGTGGTAATTTATGTATGAACAAAAAAAATATAATTGATAGTGAGGGACACCACTTAAATTTGAAAAAATGATTATCATACTGTCATTTGTGTATAGGAATATAAGTGGTAGGTTGGATAATTCAAATCTAGAATACTATTATTATTAATAAACTTAATTTTCGTTGAGCTAAACTCATTTGTTGTTCGATTTTGAATAATGTGTAATAGTAAAATGGCATTCCCTATCTCTAATTATTTTAAAAAGCTAACAATTAAACTAATTTCAAACTACCCTTAATTTGTATTGATTATATGATTGTACGGCAAGTGTTGAAAGAGTCTTTCAACTTTGGGTTATATCAAGAACAAGTTTACAAATCGAATATGCGATAAGTTTGTGAATGATTGTCTAGTAGTGTATATAGAGACAATTTTTTTAACACTATAAACACCAAGTGTATTCTACAATTAATTTCGAATATGAAAACACATCATGGATTTTTTAACCTGTACGAGTAAGGTATTTTCATATTTACAATTTTATTTTTATTAATTATTTTTATTTAATTAATTTTTTAAAAGAGGACACCCCTATGAAAAATTTCTGGGTCCGCCACTGAGCCAGGGTGGTGGCGGGGAGGCGGCCGAGCGGCGGAGAAGAGGCCGGGAGGTTGAGGAAGGCGGTGGCGGAGTTTTTCAGGTTGTTGGGGATATTTGTGGTTGGAGATGCGATTCCGTGGCTGGGGTGGGTTGACTTTCGGGGGCATGTGAAGGAGATGAAGGCGGCGGCGAAGGAGATGGATGGCGTCTTCGCCGAGTGGTTGGGGGAGCACCGGCGGCGGAGAGCGGCGGGGGGAGAGAGGGAGGAGGAGGATTTCATGGATGTGATGCTTGGGCTTGAAGAGGAAGGGAGGTTTGCTGCCTTTCCCTGCGATGCGGATTCCAACATCAAGGCTACTTGCGTGGTAAGCACAAATTTACGAGAATAAACACACACAAAAATAGTAAATTAGGTGTTGTGATATTTCTAGATGTGGCCAAATCTTTCCTATAGAGTTACTGATTGAGTGCCGTAGTCTTTTTTTGCTGAGTAATTGTTGTGTTCATTTAGATTCGGGAAGTTGAGCGTCGAATTTAGTGATTTTGTCACAAATATTTATCTCAAACGTAAATCATTTAGGCTTAAAGGACTCTTTCTTACTTATTTAACTGTCTTTATAAAAAAGAAAATCAACTAATATCAATCCTCTCAAATTATTAAAAGAGATTCGATTATGTATCTTACACGTACCACATTTACTTACAATCTCGTCTTGTTGTCATGTAGTCTCTGATCACGGGCGGCTCGGACACTTCCTCACACTATCATGGGCGATCTCCCTGATGCTCAACAACCCTACCGTGTTTAACAAGGCACAGAACGAGCTCAACATTCAAGTCGGTCGCGATCGACGAGTCAACGGATCAGACCTAAAGAATCTCGTGTACATCCAATCCATCATCAAAGAAACCCTGCGACTCTACCCAGTTGCTCCTCTCTCCGGGCTAAGGGAGGCACTGGAAGACTGCACCGTCGGCGGCTACTTCGTCCCCGCCAGCACTCGAGTGATCATCAATGCATGGAAAATCCAGAGAGATCCCGAATTCTGGCCCGACCCGTTGGCTTTCGAACCGGAAAGATTCCTCACGGCGACCCACGGCCATGTGGACGTCAAAGGGCAGAATTTTGAGCTGATTCCGTTCGGTTCGGGGAGGAGAGTCTGCCCTGGTGTGACGCTGTCCATGCAAACGCTGGTTCTTGTGCTGGCTAGACTGGTTCAGGAGTTTAATTTGGCCAACCCGACGGGCGAACCGGTTGACATGAGTGAGAATGCTGGAGTCAACTTGAGGAGAGCAACTCCTTTGGAAGTTCTCCTTTCCCCACGGCTCTCCTGCCAAACTCAAATAAACTGATTCATATGATGTTATTTAACTGTGATTAATAGATAAACAATCTATATAGTAAATAAGTTTCAAACAAAAAAATTTTGAGTCGAACAATAAACTTGTTATGAGCAGGTTGGCTCAACTCAATTACAGCCCTAGCTCTCTGTCTTCTCAAGCTTGGAAATGATGTTGAGGCAGTGGGTTACCAAAATCGCCGGCAAGTTCCGGCCGGAGTTGTAGGCGTTCTCGTCGCACTAATTACTAATAGTAACCTATGCGGATGAAATTGGGCTCCATCGTGTACTGCTGATTTCGACTAAATTGATCTTTATAATAAAGAATGAAAAAGCTAAAGAAATGATCAGTGGGGTTACAGTGAGTGGGAGACTGTCGAATCCTACCATGTCAAAAAAAGATCTTCTGGATCTCCAATGCGTAAGCAATTTTAAAAGGATGTTCATGAGAGTTGATACTTGATACCAACTATTCTTAATCAATCAATTGGCATTTCCAAACCCATAAATTCAAACCAACAGAAGAAGAAAGACTTACTTGCTCTGCTGTTCAACCTGCTGCAATGAATCTCATCCCTCCATTCCTGAACGCTGGAACTCTAATACTTGCCCTTGTTCTTTTTCTTTCTTATTACTTTCTCTTCTTGAGGATTCCCAAATCAGGAAAAGGCAAGCAGGTCCCAGAAGCAGGGCGGTCCTGGCCTGTTATAGGTCACCTCTTTTCCCTGGCGGGAACTGAGCTTCCCCACTTGAAATTTGCAGCCTTGGCAGACAAATACGGGCCAATTTTCATGGTCAGGATCGGTTTGTTCCCAACTCTGGTGGTCAGCACTTCGGAACTGGCCAAGGAACTCTTCACCACCCACGATGCAGCCATATCGTCGCGCCCCGATCTCACTGCCTCGACGATTCTGAGCAACAACCGTGCCGACTTTTCATTTACCCCATACGGTGAATATTGGCGACAGATGAGGAAAATCACAGCCCTGGAGCTGCTCTCCAGTCGCAGGATCGAGCTGCTGAAACATGTTAGGACTTCGGAAGTGGAAGGGACCATGAAGAGTCTCTACAAGCTGTGGGAGAAGAGCAACAACAGAAGTGAAGGCGGGAAGGACAGAGTCCGTGTTCAGATGAACAAGGTGTTTGGGGATATGAATTTGAATATTATGCTCCGGATGGTTGTAGGGAAGAGGTACTTTGGCACGCATGCTGCAGAGGACGACGAGCAGCGAGAGGCTGAGAGATGCAGGAAGCTGATGAGAGACTTCTTCCGTTATGCAGGGCAGCTTGTTGTGAGAGATTTGTTTCCATTTCTTGGGTTTCTGGACATAGGAGGACATGAGAAGATCATAAAGAAACTCCATGTAGAATTGGACAAATTTGCTGAAGAATGGATCGAGGAGCATCGTAGCAAGAGGAGAACAACTTCCTGTAAGGATGATGAACAACAAGACTTCATAGATGTGTTGCTCTCTGTCCTGAAAGATGCAGACCTTGCTGGTTATGATCCGGATACAGTTTGCAAATCCACAATCATGGTATTGAACGGTTCAACCCCTGAACTTCATACTAAACAAAAATCCATGTTACTGATGGATTCGCACCCTTTCTTCCCCTTTTGTTGTTTTTTGTGGCAGGCACTGATTGCTGGAGGAACTGATACAACAACCGGGACTATAATCTGGGCCCTTTCCGTACTTCTGAACCATCCAAGTAGCTTGAAAAAGGTTGTTGGAAATGAATGTATATGAATAGCTTTGAAAGCTATAGAGTCTCTAGTGGAAAAAACTACCACATTGGTAGTTTTACTTGGTGAAATGTGTATAAAGATAGGAGCCTCTCTCCCAAGGGCATGCCCCTTGGGGTGACCCACTTTTGTGGGAGAGGGAGGACCTAATGGACCACCACACACACGCGCGCGCGCGCGCCGTCCGACCGGTCGGTCGGTCGGTTGGTTGGTTCACTTGAGACTATATATATATTTTTGGAGAAATTCCGAACGAAATTAATTATTTAATAATTAATTATTAATCTGTTATTCTGAGGTATATTCCTAAGGATAATCGACTAAAACGGAATATTCGAAGGATAATCCCTCCGGGTTTATCTTAACCGACGGTTTTAATTAAGGAAGTAATTATCTTCCTTAATTAATCCGACTTATTCCCCAAGCAAGAGGGTATATTCCTAGGGGTTCGGCTCCTATAAATAGCCGCCTCCCCAGCCCCTCTAAAGAGATCACAACGAGCAGAAACACAATAGAGAGAGTGTTTAGAGAGCTTCAGTTTTCGCACAAAACCGCGAGTATTGAGAGGAGCTGTTTTATCCTGGAGACACCGGTTGATAGTCTGCCGTGCGCATCGAAGGCAGTGCCGCGAACGTCTTAAAAAAAGCGACCTAGTCCGCGACTCAGCTCCAGATTCGGTAACCTCGTTCCTTTTGTTGTTCTGTTCCTAACAATTTTAAGACGTTCGGCTGCTGCTATGTCGACTGAACAGAACAACATGGCCGGATCTGGTGCTGTCGATATCAATCGACCCTTTCGCTTCGTTGGGGTCAACTTCCGTCGCTGGAGGCAAAAGATGGAGTTCTACCTGACAACCAAGAAGCTGGCCCACTGCCTCACCAGCATGCCTGTCGAGCTGCCGGAAGAAGCGACCAATGAGGAGAGGGCTGCTTCTGCTAGGGAAAGGGAGCATGACTTCCTGTGCAAGAACTACATCCTCAACGGCCTGGCAGACGATCTGTACGACTACTATGCGGACAGTAAGAACACCGCAATGATGATCTGGGATGCGCTTCAAAAGAAGTACGACACGGAGGAGGCTGGAGCTAAGAAGTATGCTGTCAGCCGCTACCTGCGCTACCAGATGGTGGATGACAAGTCCGTCGAAGTTCAGTCCCACGAACTTCAGAAAATAGCTCATGAGATCGTCTCTGAAGGTATGCCTCTGGACGATCAATTTCAAGTTGCTTGCATTATTGATAAGCTGCCCCCTTCGTGGAAAGATTTTAAGAATATGCTTAGGCACAAAACCAAAGAATTTTCACTGGAAAGCTTGATTACTCGCCTAAGGATTGAGGAAGAGTCCCGCAAGCAGGATATGAAAGAAGAGGTGATGGTCGTCACTGCTAAACGACCCACCCCTAGAGCTCTTAAACCTAACCAGAAAGGGTTTAAGAGTAAGAACCAGCAGGTCCGCCCCCACCAGAATGGTGCCTCTCGAGGTAACCAAAGGGTCATGGCTCAAACCTCTAAGAATGACCCACCGTTTATCTGCTATAACTGTGGAAAACCGGGTCATATGGCAAAGAAGTGCCGGAACAAGCAAAACCCTGCCGCTGCGGCCAGGGTTAACTTGACAGAAGAGGATTTAATAGCCATGATCACAGATATGATTGCTGAAGTTAACCTCACCGGTGACTCAGAAGGATGGTGGCTGGATACAGGTGCATCGAAGCATGTATGCAACAATCGTGCTATGTTCAAAACATACACAGAAGCACCTGCTGACAAGAAAGTATTGTTGGGGACTACCCACACTACTATGGTTGCTGGTTCTGGTGAAGTGGAGCTGAACTTCACCTCTGGGAAGAAGATGGTGCTCAAGGATGTGTTGCACACTCCAGAGATAAGGAAGAATCTTGTTTCTGGATATCTTCTTAATAAGGCTGGGTTTAATCAAACTATTGGGGCAGACTTGTATACCCTTACTAAGAATGGGAGTTTTGTGGGAAAGGGATATGCATGTAATGGGATGTTCAAGTTGAATGTCGAAATTAATAAGATGAATTCTTCAGTTTACATGGTGTGTGATTTGAATGTTTGGCATGCTCGTCTTTGTCATGTGAACACACGAATTGTGAAGAATTTAAGCAAGCTAGGGCATATCTCTAAACTCTCAATGAATGAATTTGATAAATGTGATTTCTGTAGCCAAGCTAAAATAACGAAAACGCCCCATAAATCTGTGAGTAGAGAATCAGAACCCTTAGATCTTATTCATTCTGATATTTGTGAACTAGATGGGACGTTAACTAGGTCTGGCAAGAGATACTTTATCACTTTCATAGATGATTGCTCTGATTATTGCTTTGTTTATTTGATGAAAAACAAAAGTGAAGCCCTTGATATGTTCAAGGTATTTGTGGTTGAATTTGAAAATCAGTGCAATCGAAAGATAAAAAGACTTAGGAGTGATAGAGGATCAGAGTATGACTCTAATCCCTTCAAGGAATTCTATAGCTCACATGGTATCATTCATGAAACCACGGCACCATATTCACCAGAAATGAATGGTAAAGCTGAGCGGAAAAATAGGACGTTTACAGAATTAGTCGTGGCTATTATGCTCAATTCTGGAGCTGCTTCTTCTTGGTGGGGTGATATTTTGTTGACAGTTTGCTATGTGCTAAACCGTCTTCCAAAAACAAATAGAAAAGAATCACCCTATGAGATCTTGAAGAATAAGCCACCTAATCTGTCCTATTTAAGAACGTGGGGCTGTTTGGCCTACGTAAGAATTCCGGATCCTAAGAGGATTAAATTGGCTAGTCGAGCATATGAATGTGTCTTCGTTGGCTATGCGGCCAATAGTAAGGCATATAGATTCTATGATTTGAATGCTCGTACTATAATAGAATCCATTGATGCTGATTTCTTTGAGACACGATTTCCATTTAAAACGAGAAATAGTGGGGGGAATGTACTACCCGCTATTAGAGATAACGGAACTAGTGGGGGTGTTGGTTCTGAGGATGAACTCAGAAGAAGTAAAAGAGCTAGAATCTCTAAAGATTTTGGTGATGACTTTACTACAGTATTCACCCTCGAAGATCCAAAAAGTTTGCAGGAAGCATTAACTTCCGTAGATGCAGATTTTTGGAATGAGGCCGTTATAGATGAAATGGAATCGTTAGAAGCTAATAAGACTTGGCATCTAACAGACTTACCTCCTGGCTGCAAAGTCTTAGGTAATAAATGGGTTCTAAAAACGAAACGGAAACCTGATGGTGCAATCGAAAGGTTCCGAGCTCGCCTAGTAGTTAAGGGCTACAGGCAGAGAGAGAATATAGATTTCTTCGATACCTATTCACCAGTATCTAGAATAACATCCATTCGTGTAATGATTGCTCTTGCTGTCTTGAACAATCTCGTGGTACACCAAATGGATGTTAAGACCGCTTTTTTGAACGGTGATCTAGATGAAGAAATCTATATGGAACAACCAGAAGGGTTTGTTATCCCCGAACATGCCTCGAAAGTCTGTAAGTTAGACAAATCATTATATGGTTTGAAACAGGCTCCAAAACAGTGGCATGAGAAGTTTGACACTCTCGTTCTCTCACATGGCTTTAAGGTGAATGAAAGTGACAAGTGTATTTACTGCAAGTCAGAAAATAACACTTGTACTATCATATGTTTGTATGTAGATGACATGTTGATATTTGGTACAAATATTCACGTGGTCAATGAAGCAAAAGCCATGTTAAAAGAGAGCTTTGAAGTGAAAGATCTGGGAGAAGCAAAGTTTATGCTTGGAATCCAGATAACTAGAACAGCAAATGGTTATTCTCTAGATCAATCTAGCTACATAGAGAAGATCTTGAAGAAGTATAACTATTTCGACTGTAAACCTGCGTGTACTCCGTATGATGCTAGTGTAAAGCTATTTAAGAACACTGGAGACAGTGTAAGACAATCAGAATATGCTAGCATCATTGGCAGTCTCCGTTATGCTGCGGATTACACTCGACCAGACATTGCATATGTCGTGGGATTGCTTGGCAGGTTTAACAGCTGTCCTAGTAGAGAGCATTGGAATGCTATAGAGAGGGTCATGAGATACCTCAAGAGAACAGCAAACCTTGGTATACATTATCAAAGGTTTCCTGCTGTACTAGAAGGGTATAGTGATGCGGATTGGAATACCCTATCAGATGACTCCAAGGCAACCAGCGGGTATGTTTTCAACATCGCTGGTGGAGCTGTGTCTTGGAAGTCAAAGAAACAAACAATCCTAGCTCAATCAACTATGGAATCAGAGATGATAGCACTAGCAACGGCTAGTGAAGAAGCAAGTTGGTTGAGAGGATTGTTGTCAGAGATTCCCCTATGGGAAAGACCGGTCCCTCCGGTATTGATCCATTGTGATAGTACCGCAGCTATCGCTAAAGTTGAGAACCGGTTCTATAACGGAAAGAAACGACAGATTCGTCGTAAACACAGTACTGTAAGAGAACTCCTAACGATAGGAGCAGTGAGGGTGGATCATATAAGATCCGAACAGAATCTAGCTGATCCTTTGACGAAAGGATTACCTAGAGAGAAAGTCCAGAATACCGCCAAGGGTATGGGACTTATGCCTACCGAACCACGGACTACAAGTGATGGTAACCCGACCCAATAGACTGGAGATCCCAAGAAATGGGTTCAATGGGTAATAACAAGTCATGAGTAGTATGCGAAAAGTTCATGCATAGTGAAGCATGAATCCCAAAGCAATGGAGGTTGAGTTAATAACTCTTAATGAGATCTATACCCTATGTGGGGTGGAGTACTTTACTTTGGGGGTACTCTTGATAGACTCACCTATGTGAATGTGGGAGTGGGGCCGCTCCCTATGGAACTTTGGAGGCACAAAGTTGCTAGAGCGTTTACTAAACCAGGGTAACGTGCATGGCCATAAACGCACGGGCTATGAAGAGAACACAACTCAATGAAAAGATCCGGTGTGCTACACTGTCTGAGATAGGGTTCAAGACTACGAGTCACCCTTATGAAATCGGAAGTGTAACCACTACGCTAAGGTTCAAATCTTCGCGATACCTTAGCTTATGCCCGATCTTATGGAACTGTTGATGCTCAGAGATAGTTTCAAAACTATTCAAGTGGGGGATTGTTGGAAATGAATGTATATGAATAGCTTTGAAAGCTATAGAGTCTCTAGTGGAAAAAACTACCACATTGGTAGTTTTACTTGGTGAAATGTGTATAAAGATAGGAGCCTCTCTCCCAAGGGCATGCCCCTTGGGGTGACCCACTTTTGTGGGAGAGGGAGGACCTAATGGACCACCACACACACGCGCGCGCGCCGTCCGTCCGACCGACCGACCGGTCGGTCGGTCGGTTGGTTGGTTGGTTGGTTGGTTGGTTGGTTCACTTGAGACTATATATATATTTTTGGAGAAATTCCGAACGAAATTAATTATTTAATAATTAATTATTGATCTGTTATTCTGAGGTATATTCCTAAGGATAATCGACTAAAACGGAATATTCGAAGGATAATCCCTCCGGGTTTATCTTAACCGACGGTTTTAATTAAGGAAGTAATTATCTTCCTTAATTAATCCGACTTATTCCCCAAGCAAGAGGGTATATTCCTAGGGGTTCGGCTCCTATAAATAGCCGCCTCCCCAGCCCCTCTAAAGAGATCACAACGAGCAGAAACACAATAGAGAGAGTGTTTAGAGAGCTTCGGTTTTCGCACAAAACCGCGAGTATTGAGAGGAGCTGTTTTATCCTGGAGACGACCGGTTGATAGTCTGCCGTGCGCATCGAAGGCAGTGCCGCGAACGTCTTAAAGAAAGCGACCTAGTCCGCGACTCAGCTCCAGATTCGGTAACCTCGTTCCTTTTGTTGTTCTGTTCCTAACAAAGGTGGTAGAAGAACTCGACATGATCGTTGGAAAAGAAAGAGTGCTGGATGAATCAGACATTGACAAGCTTCCCTATTTCCAAGCCATGATGAAGGAGGTAATGAGGTTGTACCCAACGGGTCCCTGTGGAGGCCCCCGGGAATTCTCCAAGGACTGCATTGTAGCTGGGTACCATGTGCCAGCTGGGACTCGGCTTTTGGTGAATATCCACAGAGTGCAAAGGGATCCAAAGGTATGGCCAGAGCCAATGGAGTTCAAGCCAGAGAGGTTCCTTATGACATGGCACAAGGATGTTGATGTGAAAGGGCAACACTTCGAGCTCATCCCGTTTGGTGCTGGAAGAAGATCATGCCCTGGAATCAACTTCGGCATTCAAATGACTCACTTGGTTCTCGCAAGATTCCTGCAAGCATTTGATATCTACAAACCATCAGATGCACCAGTCGATATGACTGCTGCACCTGGGCTGACTGTCAGCAAAGCCATCCCACTTGAAGTCTTGGTCCGGCCCCGCTTGCCTGCAAACCTTTACCAACAAATGGGAAACGCTTGTTAGTGGAAAACTTGTAACAAATCTGCAAGATCTAATATTTATATGGAAGAGTATATGAATTATGAATTGCAATGTAGTTCTTTTCTACCAACTTGTTCTGTGTGGTTGTGGGAAAGGCATAATTCTAAGACTCATAAGAGATAAGTCCCGAGGCTGTCCAGTCCAGTCTTTTCATGTCCCTAGTTAAGGTATGTACTGGTAGTAACTTTATTGTAACTGCCTCTGTTTGGGGAATTTCAATTCAATGAACTAACAGTAGATAGAATTAGAAAACTCAAAATCATTTTTGGTCCCATTATGCAGGACTCTGGTTTACTTTCAAATGGTCCGAATCCTTAATGTCTATCCTCCCAAAAAATTAATCTTCAATCCTAATGTTCATCTGCCTGCGTAAGAAACTTGAAAAAGAGTAACCATTCTGTGTCGTTTCCTTATAGTATCTTTACAACAATAGTCCATCTCTTGGCCTATAGCTTGATCAGTTTAGTCAAAGAACTCCACTATCCACAAATAAGAATCGTTGAGCATGTCATTAAGAAGTAATCTTTTAGTGATTAAACACTCTAATTGTATATATTAACATATCCCATGAAGAAAAATTGGCAATGTGACAGCAGACAAAAATTTCTTTAATGGCTGCTCGGTCAAGAAAGACCAAATAGATAGCAGCCGGAATTCATGACCAATTCAAACTTGATCAACAATTTAAAATATGTGTTAGATTTTCATTGGACATCTGCTGTATCAGTTGGCAAATGAAGTTTCATAACCATTATGACCTACAAAACTATGGAGAATCAAATCCAAATCCATATTCGGACAACAAAGCTACTTACTTGCTTTGCTGCTAGCTAACCTGCAATGGATCTCTTCCTTCCATTCCGGAACACAGCAACTCTTGCACTTGCTGTTGTTCTTCTGCTTTCTTACTTCCTCTTCAGGAGACCCAAATCAGGAAAAGGGAAACAAGTTCCAGAAGCAGGGCGATCCTGGCCGGTCATTGGGCACCTCCTCTCGCTAGGAGGAGCTGAGCTTCCCCACTTGAAGTTTGCAGAGTTGGCTGACAAATATGGTCCAATTTTCATGGTCAGGGTCGGTCTGTTCCCAACTCTAGTGGTCAGTACTTCAGAACTGGCTAAAGAACTCTACACCACTCACGACACAGCCATATCTTCTCGCCCCAATTTCACAGCTTCTTTGATCTTGGGCAACAACAGCGCTAACTTCGGATTCTCTCCTTACGGCGAGTACTGGCGCCAGATGAGGAAAATAACGGCCCTGGAACTGCTCTCCAACCGAAGGCTTGACCTTCTGAAACATGTGAGGACTTCAGAAGTGAAAGCAGCACTAAAGGTTCTGTACACACTGTGGGAGAAGAACAACAGCAGAACTGGAGGCGGCAAAGTTTGTGCTCAGATGAACAAGTGGTTCGGGGACATGAATTTGAACGTCATACTAGGGATGGTTGCAGGGAAGAGGTACTTTGGCAGTGTCGCGGTAGAGGACGAGAAGCAGGCTGAGAGATGCAGGAAACTGATGAGAGACTTCTTCCATTACGCAGGGCAGCTTGTTGCGAGGGATCTGTTCCCATTTCTTGGGTTTCTGGACATAGGTGGACATGAGAAGACCATGAAGAAACTCAGTGATGATCTGAACAGACTCGCCGATGAATGGATTGAGGAGCACCGTAGCAAGAAGGAAACAACATCGTCTGATGATGAACAACAACAAGACTTCATAGATGTCTTGCTCTCCGTCTTGAAAGATGTCGATCTCAATGGTTACGATCTAGACACAGTCTGCAAATCCACAGTCATGGTAATAATTAAGTTACTGAAAACATGTGAATTCAATATATTCAAGTCATGTAACTGAATTCTCACTTCTTTTTCCCCCTCTTTTTTGGCAGACTCTCATTGTTGGAGGCACTGATACCACAACCGTGACTCTTACCTGGGCTCTATCCCTTCTCATGAACAATCCAAGCACCTTAACTAAGGCGCAGGAAGAACTCGACGCGATCGTGGGCAAAGACAGGCTGGTGAATGAATCAGACATTGCCAAGCTTCCCTACTTCCAAGCCATTCTAAAGGAGGCAATGAGGCTCTACCCAGCAGGTCCAATTGGAGGCCCCCGAGAATTCTCCAAGGATTGCACAGTAGCTGGGTACCATGTCCCAGCTGGGACTCGGCTAATAGTAAACCTATATAAGTTACAAACTGATCCCAAGGTGTGGTCAAACCCTATGGAGTTCAAGCCAGAGAGGTTCCTTACTGCACCATACAAAGACCTCGATGTGAAAGGGCAGCACTTTGAGCTCATCCCATTTGGTGCTGGAAGAAGGTCTTGCCCTGGAATCAACTTCGGCATTCAGATGACTGAATTGGCTCTTGCTAGTTTCCTGCAAGCGTTTGAGATCTCAACCCCGTCTGGTGAACCGGTTGACATGACTGCAGCTTCTGGGCTGACTGTTAGCAGAGCCACCCCGCTTGAAGTTCTGGTTAAGCCACGGTTGCCTCCAAGCCTCTACCAATAGATAGAACAACGAGCGAACACAGAAGATTCCCCACAAAAAAATCCACCAAATCCAAAGAATGGAAGATATTATTACTACTTGGTTGCCCCTTCGATGTCTTTCATACATTACATATTGTATCTTCTCGTATCCTGAATGAAGTGAAGTTTGAAGAGCACTACAATCGGAAAAACGATATGTTACAGAGATGTAGCACCATGAACGCCCTAAAAGCTCAACAAGTAATACTGCCGAATGGGAAGAATCACTACAGCAAGCAAATACCTCTTTTCTCGTGGGATATCTCCACCTTCGCAATGCTTGGTTCTAAACTCCCAAATTTTGGGAAGCCAGGCCCTTAGCGTTCTTGCATCTGCAGAGTGCCAATGAAATGTCAACAAAACAAAAACACAAAACTAATTTTGGTTTAAGTACTTTTTGCCTTTTGGGCTGAAAAAATAATGGTGCGCCCCTGCCCATCAGTTGCATATCAGAATCATTTGTATCTTCTTTTTTTTTTTTTTTTAATAAAATGGTTGCACCATTATCCCCCCAAAAAAGTATTTCTTTCCTACCAACTTGCATTCTGTGTGGCTGTGGTAATGGCATAACTCTAAGCGATAAGGTATGCACTGGCTGGCTGGTATTAGCTTCTGTAAAATGGTTGAAATTACAAGGCAAAACAACTTACTTTATTGTAAGTGCCTCTGTTCTGAGGAATTCAATTCAGTGCAGGACTCTCGAATACTTTTTCCAAATGGTCTTAATCATTCACTAGGTCTTATAGCCCGCGCTTCGCGCCGGGACTTGTTTCAATTTATGAGCTACTGTTGAGCTTATATTCGTATCACAAATACAGGACATATTGTCAGCGACTAATTATGTGTGAACAGATTGAAAGTCTGAAACTAACGGCAATTAACATAGAGGTTGTTGATCCCTTGTATAGTTTGGCTACTCATGTGCAAGCTCCAATTGTCTCACGGCAAAAACAAAGACTAAAATCGAAAGTATGGGAGCTTATAGAAGTGTCATGCCCAAACCATATCGACTTCTCCACATAATATGCCCATAAACTACCTGGTCGAAATTGGTCTTACCCTGAGTTACAACGTCCTATCATGATCCTCATCCATTCTTCTGAGATCAAGTTGCCAAGACAACAAACCGTCTTAAGAAAAATGTGAAGAAAACTCAGCAACTAGAAGGAGAGAGGAACAATTACCTCTAACAAAATCCGTGAATCTGCTTCTTCCTCGCACCCTCCCTATAGCTTCCAGATACATCGCCTCATCAACTTGATCGGTTGGAACAAATGGGAACCCTCTATTATTAATCTGGAAAGGAAAAGAAAAAGAGAAGAGAAACTTATCAAAGTGGGAGAAAGGTTGGTGGCTTCGATAGAGAAGAACCCATGTTCTAGTAACCAAGAAACAACAAAATTTGCGGGAGGAGATTCAGAGACACAAAGTGGAAATGTAGCCAAGAGTCAAAACCAGTCATCTTAAATTAACGGTCTTCGACCAGGGAGACTCTGGTAAGCAGAACCGCATCGCTAACATCCAAGAAACAGAGAAAGCAAGATCATTAGACAGGGAAAGAGCATTTGCAATCCCATGAGACCAGAACAAAGCCTACAAATTTTGCTGTTCTCCAATCCCTCGCTAATCCTCTCAAATCAGGGAATCTGAGGAAATAAACATAAATAATATAAGGTAATGAAGGATTAAAAGCGTATAGTTATGCTTCCAGGAAATTCACTGTAGACAAAATATGATTAGCGGGTTGAGGCTTCAGGCACCTCCAGTTCCAACTGACGGCCACAAAGATCGTGGGAAAATAACGGAAACATAAACCAGTGGATCGAGCTTCTGACTCTGAGCTTCTATTCTTTTGCACTCCCAAAAGCAATCACGAGGGAAGAAGATAGAAAATTACGTCGGGTAGGTAAATTGAGTGGACAGAATTTAGAGAGGGAAACAAGCAGTCCACGCTTTGTCGTTTCCTTATCCTATCTCAAATTCTCAACAACAGCAGTCCACTCTTCTAGCCTAAAGCTACTTACTTGCTTTGCTGCTAACTAATCTGCAATAATGGAACTCTTCTTTCCATTCATGAACACTGCAACTCTTGCACTTGCTGTGGTTCTTCTGCTTTCTTACTTCCTCTTCAAGAGACCCAAATCAGGAAAAGGGAAACAAGTGCCAGAAGCAGGGCGATCCTGGCCGGTCATCGGGCACCTCCTTTCGCTGCGAGGAGCTGAGCTTCCCCACTTGAAGTTTGCAGAGTTGGCTGACAAATATGGTCCAATTTTCATGGTCAGGATCGGTCTGTTCCCATATCTGGTGGTCAGTAGTTCAGAACTGGCTAAAGAGCTCTACACCACTCACGACGCAGTCATATCTTCTCGCCCCAATCTCACAGCTTCAGTTATCTTGGGCAACAACAGTGCCAACTTTGGGTTCTCTCCTTATGGGGAGTACTGGCGCCAGATGAGGAAAATAACGGCCCTGGAGCTGCTGTCCAACCGAAGGCTTGACCTGCTGAAACATGTCAGGACTTCAGAAGTGAAAGCAGCCATTAAGGATCTGTACACAGTGTGGGAGAAGAGCAACAACAGAACTGGAAGCAGCAAAGTTCGTGCTCAGATGAACAAGTGGTTTGGGGACATGAATTTGAACGTCATACTGGGGATGGTTGCAGGGAAGAGGTACTTCGGCAGTGTTGCTGTAGAGGACGAGAAGCAGGCTGAGAGATGCAGGAAGCTGATGAGAGACTTCTTCCATTATGCAGGGCAGCTTGTTGTGAGGGATATGTTCCCATTTCTTGGGTTTCTAGACATAGGAGGGCATGAGAAGACCATGAAAAAACTCAATGATGATCTGAACAGCCTCGCCGAGGAATGGATTGAGGAGCATCGTAACAAGAGGGAAATAACATCGTCTGAAGATGAACAACAACAAGACTTCATAGACGTCTTGCTCTCAGTCTTGAAAGATGTCGACCTTAATGGTTACGATCTAGACACAGTCTGCAAATCCACAGTCATGGTAGTAAGCTACTGAAAACATGTGAATTCCATACTTTCAAGTCATGTAACTGAATTCCCACATCTGTTTCCCCTCTTTTTATGGCAGACTCTCATTGTTGGTGGCACTGATACCACGACCGTGACCCTAACCTGGGCTCTATCCCTTCTCCTGAACAATCCAAGCACCTTAACTAGGGCACAGGAAGAACTCGACGAGATCGTGGGCAAAGAGAGGCTGGTGGATGAATCAGACATTGCGGAGCTTCCCTATTTCCAAGCCATTCTAAAGGAGGCAATGAGGCTGTACCCAGCAGGTCCAATTGGAGGCCCCCGTGAATTCTGCAAGGATTGCACAGTAGGTGGGTACCATGTCCCAGCTGGGACTCGGCTACTAGTAAACTTCTACAAGCTACAAGCTGATCCCAAGGTGTGGTCAAACCCTATGGAGTTCAAGCCAGAGAGGTTCCTTACCGCACAGTACAAAGACCTCGATGTGAAAGGGCAGCACTTTGAACTCATCCCATTTGGTGCAGGAAGAAGGTCGTGCCCTGGAATCAACTTCGGGATTCGGATGACTGAATTGGCTCTTGCAAGTTTCCTGCAAGCATTTGAGATCTCCACCACGTTTGGGGAGCCAGTCGACATGACTGCAGCTCATGGGCTTTCTGTTAGCAGAGCCACCCCGCTTGAAGTTCTGATTAAGCCTCGCTTGTATCCAAGCCTCTACCAATAGACAGAACAACGAACAACCACAAGAGATTCCCACCAAAACCCTCTCCAGCAAATCCGAAGAATGGTAGATATTACTACTACTTGGTTGTGGCTTCGTTGCCTTTTTGTACATTACATATTGTATTTTCTCATATCCTGAATGTAGTGAAGACTGAAGAGCACCATGAACGCCCTAAAAGCTCAACAAGTAATCCTACCAAAAGGGAAGAACCACTACGGAAAATACCTCTTTGCTCGTTGGACAACTCCACCTTCGCAATTCTTCGGTTCAAAACTCCCATATTTTGGGAAGCGAAGCATTTAGCGTTCTTGCATCTGCAGAGTCCCAATCTTGGTTTTATACGATCTAATTTTGAATTGTCAACGAAACAAGAATAAAAAACTAATTTTGGGTTTATGTACTTTTTGCCTTTTGGGCTGAACAAATAATGGTGGGCTAGCAAGCAAATTAATAAATGGACTTGGCCTGTTTATTTTAATTCAAACTAATCTAGAGCCCAGGCTCGAAAAGACCGTGTCGTGGAACTAGGTTGCTTGAGTTCCACACACATAGAGTTGTTAATGAGCCGAGCTATTCGCGAAAAGCTCGGTATCTAACTCGATAAAAGATCATTCGGTTAAATAAAAACTCGATTCGTTAATTAACGAGCCGAGTTTGAGCTCATCCTTGTTCGACTTGTGAAGCTCCTGAACCAGCTAGATTAGGTGGCTTTTTGAGTTCGACTCATGATTTGTCTCGTTTTTATCTCATGAGATGTCTCAAAATTGTAACAAACAAGCTAACTCGATTACGACTTATGAGAAAATCGATATATATCTTATGAGTTGGTTTGTTAATGATGCATAGATTTATTAAATTATACATCTCGCCACATGTGATGTTTAATAATTTGAGTACATGATCATGTTGCAGTTACTTAAAACGTATTAGTATTGGGCCTTGTTGGGTCTCGTCCTATTCGTTGGATTAGGATTTTTACCCTAAGTCTTTCTCTATATAAGCTTAGCTACGAGATTGTCGTAAGCAAGCCGTCAAAAGATGTAATCCTAATAAGAGATCAGCCGTGAGCTCTTATGAGCTCACCGTGGATTAGTCTCGATCAATCAATCGATCGAGGATACCACGTAAAACCCCTTGTCTCGTGTTCTTGTTATTTTATTTTCCGCATCATCAAATTCTTCATGGTATCAGAGCGAAACTCGATCTGACAAAGGGTTTTGAGCTTCCGCATTCATCATCCGTGGCACATCGACGTCCTCGGTCCGACGTCTCCTCTTGTTCGTCACATTAGCATCGTTTCCGACGTCCAGTTTGACGGGGGGCACAAAAGGTCACGCTCAAGGCCCAAATCCGTTGCCCTAGCACGTGGCTATCCCCAATGCCCTCGCCCGTATGCCATCGTCTTGTTCCACATCGATGATCTTGTCATCAATAGCGTCGCTCATCCGTCTCCAGTTAAAGTCCATGAGTCAGGTGCACCAGCGCCCTCACCAGTTCCCCGGCCAGTCAAGACTCCTCGTAGCCTGAAGTTTTCCTGCCGTCGTTGCGACTTCACTCAGCCTGTCAAGAATCGTCGGCCAGGGAAGCGATCACAGCCGCAACATCATAGCCTCCCGGCTTCGTAGTAATCATATTTTGAAGGTAATCGGGTCTCCTCTGAAGCCGATTTTAGTCATCAGTCTGCGAAGGTCAGGTCATCATCCGGTTCCATCCTGAATCATGTTGGCCCAAATTTTCTTTCGACGTCGCCTCACATCAGTACGGCTGTCCGCCGTGATACGGGTTGGATTGGATATCTCCCTTTTCTTGGCGGGAGTAGACCAGATTTCTCCTTTCTTGGCGAGAATGGCCAGGGGTTTCTTGATTCTGAAATTTCTTTCCCATTATTCATTACGTTCTCAACTTAAATACACAAAAACTTGAATTGAAAAGGCCTATCTAAGTGTAACTAATCCCACATCTATCTAAGCTAACAAAGTAACCATAAGATGCTAAACCCACTCCCCCTATTATGCAAACACTCCTAAAGACTCTAAAAGGGCTAGGTTGGTTGCTCTTGGGTATACACAAGAGCATGGGGTTGACTGCAATGAAACTTTTGCACCTGTTGCCAAGATGTCCACAGTTCGTACCTTATTGGTTGTTGCTTCACTGTCTAATTGGCCTCTATATCAGCTGGATGTCAAAAATGCTTTTCTCCATGGTGGCCTGGAGGAAGTAATTTACATGGAAAGGCCTCCCGGTTATACTGTTGGCCGTGAAGATCAAGTTTGTCTGCTCCATTGATCTCTCTATGGTCTCAAACAGGCTCCTCGGACCTGGTTTGAAAAGTTTCAGTCCACCATTGTTCAGTTGGGGTTTCAGCAAAGTCTCAACGATCCGTCTCTCTTCACAAGTGTATCTTCTGCTGGTATTGTGGTTCTTCTTCTTTATGTTGATGACATGGTTATTACTGGCACAGATTCACAGGGAATTTTGCATCTTAAAGACGGATTGAAGCAAGCTTTCAGTATAAAGGATTTGAGCAATTTATCCTATTTTCTCGGACTGGAGGTTAGTCGCAGTGCTCAAGGTATCTTATTAAGTCAACAGAAATACATATATGATCTTCTTGTCGATCATAACTTTGAGGATTGCAAGCCAGTTAAAACTACCATGGAAGTCAATCTTAAGCTGCAGAATGTATCATGTGAGAGGTTGAAGGATGGATCTCAGTATCGCAGTATTGTAGGTAGTCTCATCTACCTTTCAGCTACTCGCCCAGATATTTCTTATTCAGTTCAGGTGGTCAGTCAATTTATGGCCGAGCCTTGTGTATATCATTTGGCTACAGTACACAGAATTTTGAGATACCTGCAAGGAACTAAGGAGCTCGGTATTATGTTTCCGTCAGCTGGTAGTCCCACTCTCCGTGCTTATTCTGATTATGATTTTGCTGGTTGTATTGATACCCGACGGTCTACTTCTGGATGGTGTGTTCAGTTTAGTGGCGCCTTTATCTCCTGGCACTGCAAGAAGCAAGATAAAGTTTCTAAATCCTCCACTGAAGTAGAATATCGTGCTATGTCTAAGGTTGGGTCAGAGGTTGTTTGGTTGCGCCGGCTCTTGTCTGATTTCGGCATCTCCTGTCCTCAGCCTATGGAACTGCACGTCGACAATACTAGTGCTATCCGCATTGCCGAAAATCCGGTACTTCACGATCGCACGAAACATATTGAGATCCACGTCCATTACATTCGTGATCTCGTTCGTGAAGGTACTCTCCGCTTACATCACCTTCAGACCGAAGAGCAGGTTGCAGATCTATTCACAAAGGCTTTTTCCACCAGTCGTCATTGGTTTCTTGGAAACAAATTGATGCTTCGAGATCGGCACCAATTTGGGGGAGGATGTTAAGCATATGTAATCTCTTAGGCTACGATTTATGGTTAGGAGAGTTAAGATGAAGTGGGGCCCATTAATTAAGCCTGCATTAATTAAGCCCATGCACTAGTCGACGTAGGCTCTGTGTGTTTAGGGTTTTCGGGTGTAAAAAGGGGATGTGGGTGATCGGCTACTGTACAACATCAGCTTCTCTCTTCTCAGTAAAATCAATAGCCTTAAGAGGGTTCAAAGCTCTTCCGTGGATTAGTCATGGATCATATCCAGGGATACCACGTAAACTCCGGTGTCGGTGTCTGATCATTTACTGTTATCGTTTATCATTCTGTTTCCGTCTCTGTTAACAGAATTATCAATCAAGTGCAAATCCCTACAACGACAAGCTTGCTACACGACTTAAGGCCTAGTGCCTCTGTGAACTGTGCTACTCCTCATTATTATAATAGCGGTGTTGGACTACGACACTCGAACTGAACGATGTAGGGGCTCATCACGCCGCGATGCTCTTGTCATCAATTTCCCCTACCCAATGCGAGCGCCAACTGGCGGCGGTTCCATGGATTAATATTTTTGGCTATATAAGCGGTGTCGTTTAATTCAAAACAGTACCGCGAGTAGGCCCAACGGTGCCGCTGTACTAGCAAACGACAGTGTTTAAAGTGACAAACAATGTCGCGAAAGGAAAAGCAAATAGAGCCGTTTTGGCGCTAATGATAAAGTTGGTCAACACGCGAATTTGACTAATGATGGCCAGATTGATCAATTAATATTTTAGTGAGTGTTTCGGACGGTGTCGTTTAGTTGAACGACACCGAGGATTATAAAACAATATCGCGAGTAGGCCAAACGATGCCGCAATAGTTAAACGACGGTGTTAAATTTAAACCAGTGCCGCGAAGCTCAAAAGCTCAACGACATCGCGGGACTAGAAAACGATGTTGTTTAACTAAGAACGGCGCCGAGGGGTTTGAGTTTGACGGCGAGTTAACAATGAGGGCTGGTTTAATTAATTAGTATTTTATGATTATTTTAGACGGTGTCGTTTAAGGAAAAGCAATGCCGCGGAAAAGTAAAACGACACCTCGGTAGTGGGTAAGAGTTCGGCCAAAGGCGGCCTGCCAAGCCCAACGACGGCGCAAGGGTAGAGAACGACGTTGTTTGATGGACTAACAATGTCGTTGGTTAAACCGGGGTTGGGGCAGTTGAGTTGGATTATAAAATGGCATCGGTTGGTGAAAGGCGATGTCGTGGTATTGGTGAAACGACATCGTTACATGGACAAGGTTGTAGGAGTTGGCTCAACGTCGTTTCGCCAAGTTTCTGCAAAGAAGAACGGTTTCGAGGGCACGTGATTATCACGCAACAAGGAGGAAGTTACTTGCACGGTTGACAGGAATGAAGACGTAGGAGACAAAGGCACAAAAGCGGTTACCACGACTACGGGCAGAGGATGGCAGTATAAACATCAGTAAGAGAGAGAAGCTCGGGACGGCAAAATCAAATCTCAAACTGCACCGTCACAGAATTATCAGTTTTTCTCTCTAGTTTCGTAGAACCGCTCTATCAGAGAAATCCTTTGCAGAGTCGTAGTCATAGTTTGTAGTCGTAGTCGCGGAGCTCTCCAGAGGAACCTCCATAGGAGTAGAGGTAACGTAACTTAGAACACTCCTAGTTCGATTTTCTGGTTATTCGCCAAACACCCTCGTTCGTACGTAGTTTGGAGAGGTGGTGAACCGAATAGCGGTTGTTTGCTTAGAAGTCAAAGGTGCATCGATCAAATCACCATCGCCGACGCCGACGGTGGATATTTGACAGTCATCTTGATTTCTGTGTAATCGATCAAATCAACGGCGCCGACATTCGGCGGCGGATATTTGACAATTGTGCTGACTTTGTGTTTGTGCTTACTTGAAAACAGTGCGCATTGAACACGCGAGTTTCGCCAACGAAACAAATTGGCACACCCGGTGGGACCCGTGTGTTCGAATGGCTTCGCGACGTAGGAATCAGG